AGGAAGAGGAGAGGGTATTGTTATGGGAAATCTTGATGACATTTTGTTTAAAAGTTATCTCTGTCAGAGCTCACTCTAACAATGGTAAAAGTTACATTTTTCTATCAAGAGGATACCAGTACATCTCAAATACCAGGAAGGACCAGATGCATTTCCAGTACATATAGTTATTTACAGTATTACAGCACAAAAGAGAGCAGGAAAAAATATACTGACATGTCATTTAATTGTACTGTTAGCAGTTGGAAACATCATTCCCCCACTTTTCAATCAGTGGCAAAATAGATCTGTATCTCACCATACTTTGGCCATATCAAGAGAAGATGACTCATCAGAAAAGACAATAATGCTTTCTGCTACTAGTATGTTGTCATTTGCATATCGTAATTAGTTAATGTTCCTTTCTCAAAATTTCATGTCTCCTTCTTCTGAGTTCATATGCGATATCTTCAATATACAAATCAAACAGATAAAGATGCTGAAATGTGGCCTTGTCTGATGCTCTTGCCCATTGGGAATCATTCTGCTTCTCCATAATCTATCCTAACAATAGCCTCTTGTCCTGAGTACAAGTCATGAGTACAAGTTACACATCAAAACAATACAATTTGTATTGCCAGAGAAGGAAACAGATTGGACATTGATAAACGAATACTTCAGATAGAAAAAATAAAGCAGGAGAGATGTACAACCTTTCTACCTCATAACCTAAATAATCTATAGACAGTAGAAAGAAAGAAACTTGAAGAAGAAAGAAAAAGAAACCTCGTCAAAGACACCGGGAAGTCAGACCGAAAGAAGAGGAAAACCTCAACCTTTGTTTCATAATGTTTTTATACACTTTCTTTTATACACTTTATACATAATGTTTGTATACACACACACACACACACACTTATTATTGTGTATTGCTGGGCTGTCCATTTAGTTTTCTTGGCAAGGATACAGGGGTGGTTTGCCATTGCCTTCCCTAGGGATCACGCTTGGACTGACCTCTCTGCCACGACTGTCCCATCTTGGGTGGCCCTTCACGGTTTCGCTCATGACATCATTGAGGTGCTCAAGCTCCAGCGCCACGACAAGGCGGTGATCCTTTGCTGGAGGTGTGGTGAATGAACCAGACATCCTGAGGAGGGAGGTTGAATGGGCCTTAAGAAGCATTGCTAACAACAAGGCAGCAGGAGACGACGGGATCCCAGCTGAACTGTTTAAAATCTTAAAAGATGATGCTGTCAAGGTGATGCATGCCATATGCCAGCAAATATGGAAAACACAAGAATGGCCATCAGACTGGAAAAAATCAACTTATATCCCCATACCAAAAAAGGGAAATGCGAAAGACTGCTCAAACGTCCGTACAGTGGCCCTTATTTCTCATGCCAGTAAGGTAATGCTCAAGATCCTGCAAGGAAGACTCCAGCAATACATGGAGCGAGAGTTGCCAGATGTTCAAGCTGGGTTTAGAAAAGGCAGAGGAACGAGAGACCAGATTGCCAATATCCGCTGGATAATGGAGAAAGGCAGGGAGTTTCAGAAAAGCATCTACTTCTGCTTCATTGACTATTCTAAAGCCTTTGACTGTGTGGATCATAATAAATTGTGGCAAGTTCTGGTGGGATGGGCATACCAAGCCACCTTGTCTCTCTCCTGAGGAATCTGTACAAGGACCAAGTAGCAACAGTCAGAACTGACCACGGAACAACAGACTGGTTAAAGATTGGGAAAGGCGTACGGCAAGGCTGCATACTCTCACCCAACCTTTTTAACTTGTATGCAGAACACATCATGCGATGTGCGGGGCTTGATGAATGCAAAGCTGGGGTGAAAATTACTGGAAGAAACATTAACAACCTCAGATATGCAGATGACACCACTCTGATGGCCGAAAGCGAGGAGGAGCTGAGGAGCCTTCTAATCAAGGTGAAAGAAGAAAGCGCAAAAGCCGGGTTGCAGCTAAACATAAAAAAAAACCAAGATTATGGTAACAAGAATGATTGACAACTGGAAAATAGAGGGAGAAAACGTGGAGGCCGTGACAGACTTTGTATTTCTAGGTGCAAAGATTACTGCAGATGCAGACTGTGGCCAGGAAATCAGAAGACGCTTCCTTCTTGGGAGGAGAGCAATGTCCAATCTCGATAAAATCGTAAAGAGTAGAGACATCAGACTGGCAACAAAGATCCGCATAGTCAAAGCCATGGTATTCCCTGTAGTAACCTACGGATGTGAGAGCTGGAACCTTAGGGAAGGCTGAGCGAAGGAAGATAGATGCTTTTGAACTGTGTTGTTGGAGGAAAGTTCTGAGAGTGCCTTGGACTGCGAGAAGATCCAACCAGTCCATCCTCCAGGAAATAAAGCCCGACTGCTCATGGAGGGAAGGATACTAGAGACAAAGCTGAAGTACTTTGGCCACATCATGAGGAGACAGCAAAGCCTAGAGAAGACAATTATGCTGGGGAAAGTGGAAGGTAAAAGGAAGAGGGGCCGACCAAGGGCAAGATGGATGGATGGCATCCTTGAAGTGACTGGACTGACCTTGAAGGAGCTGGGGGTGGTGATGGCTGACAGGGAGCTCTGGCGTGGGCTGGTCCATGAGGTCACGAGGAGTCGGAGACGACTGAACGAATGAACAACAACAACAATTGCTGGGCTTGTTGAGGACTTCTTTGGAAAGGATGCTCTGGACTACTATTTCTCTATCTGATATGAGGGATGCACAATTCTGATGTTTTCCCAACGTTTCCATGGAGTGCACCTGGCCACTCCTACCTTTCTCAAGCTTCACTCCTGCTAGGTCATAATTTTTGACCACGAAATCACAGGACCTTGGATATTTCTAATCAGGCACCCCTGAATCTGACCAAGAGTAGAGTTTTTGTAGTATCAAAAATTTTCAAGTAGGTTTCAAGGGCAGCCCAAAATGGATTGCCATAATTTATCCTTGAGGTTGAGAGAACACAAATGTAAGTGATCTGGTTCTTATTCATTAGTTAACAGCTATATGTAGCATCCACATTTGTACTTTTTCAGAGTCCTGCAGAGTTTCCAAAGCTATATCTAATTATAAAAAAATCTACCCTTGGTTTTTCATGCTGTGTTGGTTTGGTTTCCATAATAGAAATAGTAATGGGGGCAAAGGGTGGCAGCTGTAAGAGGCAAGGTTTATGGAAGGTTTTTTAAATTTTATTTTGCTTTTGCAACTGTGAAAACATTTTTTTAAATCACTGATCTCATCCCTTGAATGGTTGATGGAATTTTGTCTTCTGCTGACAACATAACCTCCACAAACCCACAAAGTGGCCTCTTGTCTGTATATTTTTCTAGCATTAACATATACTATATGTGTGTGTATTTCTTTAACTGAGGGAGTATTTATGTAATGGATTATTTATGAAATTAATGTATCTTAAATCCAATTTTGTAAAGATGTCTTGCCGAAGAACTGTCAAGAGTTCAACAGCCCACCTCACAGGAAGATAAAGGAAAACAGACAGGAAAAACCAAACCTACACATTACATTGCTGTTTCATTAATATGATATAATTTTCAACACTATTTCTTTGATAGATAAAAATGATTTCAGTTTATAATAGTCCAGCAAGAGTGAGTTTTGCATAGAAACAAATCTGGATTAGGGCCCATGCCTGCCAAAGAGTGGAGTGGCTTGTTAGAAATTCAGTTTATGGGACCTGGTTCTTGAGTATTGTATCCCAGTGTAGAGTTTATTGTTGTATTATTTGTTGATTGGTGATTTGTCTCTTTATAAATCCTTTCTAATGGATAGAGCCTGGGTATTCCCTGTTCAAAATGCTTGAAACCAGAAGTGTTTTTTGGATTTTAGAATACACATATTTCATAAATGTCTATAAAAAGATATATTGGAGATGGGATCCAAGTCTAAAGAAATTCATTTACCATACATATGCATGTATAAATCAACCTCATGTATAACAAGGGGTGGTTTGGGGCCCAAAATTATAGATTTTTATATGACTGATGGATATGTCGAGGGTGGAGAGGGGAAAGTGCCAGTGCCATCTCAGAGGACTAGCTGCATCATCCTCACTTGACTTAAATTGTCTCACCATCTGTGGTCACCGTCATCAATCACAGCCAGCCCCAGAGTCCATGCAGGCTCCTAGCTGCAGTGGGTATCCTCTTGTGACACTGCCCCCACACTCTTTCTGGCCATTCAGGTGCATCAGGGCCTGCCGTATAAAACAGAATATCAGAGCAGAATTAGATATCTGCTCTAAACTGGATAATCTGAGTCCACACTGCCATATAATCCGGTTCAATGTGGATTTTATACAGCTGTATAGAAGGGGCCTCAGTTGATGTCAGAACAAGACACCCATAATGGGAAATGATAGCAGTGGTGACAAAGGCATGGCCCATAGGGAAAGAAGGGAAAAGGTGATAGTGGTGATGGCCTCTATGGACAGTGACCTGGTTCAAATTGGTAAGTTTGAGGAATTGCTAGTAAAATACCTGAGACAGAAGAATGTAAAATAAAGGCATTAGATTCAGATCTGGTGAGTTCTGATAGCAATAAATAAATGCCCAAGGTTTGTAATGCTGTTTTGTGTGCTGTCAAGTAATTTGTTTACTCATAGCAACATCAAGTGAACTTATCACATGATTCTCTTGCCAACAGTTGTTGAAAAGAGGTTAGCCATTGCCTTCCTCTTAAACAGAGACAGTGTAACTTGCCCAAGTCCACCCCATGGTTTCCATGGTCAAATGGGAGTCCAACCCAGATCTTCCAATGTCCTAATCCAACACAAAACACTGCACTACACTAACCCTCAATGGAGATATGTCAGAAGTGGGGTTTGAACCCATGCCTTCATTTGGAGATCGGTTGTGTGCATATATTTCATTAGAGTCTGTTAAATACATCTTGGTTTCTTGCCACCGCCATCCATAGATGCTGAAAGACTGAAACCAACTGAAGAAGGATTATTTGAATCCCAATGGCACGCATATCTTTTATAACTGAAGCCGGCTCATTCTACACTCTCTGCTGCTCCTGGAGGCTGTTTGCAAGTGCAAGAGCTTTCCCCCCCTTCATACAGAGTAGAGACAGCTGACTTCCTTGGTGAGAGCTTTGATTTCTGCAGCATCCACCACACATACAAACACAAGAAGCAATGGCAGGGCTGACAGAAAGCAAAGGTAACATTTTTATATCAGATATCTTAGAGAATAGCAGAGGGATGGACAGCTAGAAGGTTAAGAAGATAGGCTGGAAAGATAGGAAATGCTGTTGTGGAAAAAGGAGCCAGGGAAATGTATATAGATTACAGAATGCATTCTTTCTGTAACAAAGAGGACTGAGTACAAGGCTCAAGTTGCAACAGGAAAAGAATATGGGCTATGATCATATACTTAGGGTCTGGGGTGGTATAGCTGATTTTAATGCCCCTCTTTTGCCTGTTTCCTTTATATCAAGTGCAAAAATATTGAAGAGAGCATTTTTGTTGAACGTGACAGGAAAAGACTGTATTCTTCCCTTTGCGTCCCCCCTTTCTCCCTCTGATAAACCTTAAAATAATTAGTTTGTTGTGTTTCTCAGGAGAAAGTCTATGAATTCTGTCAAAACTAAATTGCTATTTTTATATGTAATTTTATTTACTTGATATTTTCTAGCTGGCAACTTTCCCTCTCTTATTCATGCATGTGTGTGTGTGACAGAGAGAGAGAATGAAAAATATTTGTGATATTTTAAATGGTTTTAATTTAAAGAATGCCATGGATGAAGCAAGTTTTCTTGAAAGCAAGATGTATGACATAGGTAATATTTGTGTGCTTGCATGTGTATGCGAACCTTTTACTTACAAAATTTACATGTTGCACATGATGCAGTTGGTCATGCATAAATTTTATATTTCAGCCATCAGCAAACAGGAGTACAGTTGCAGAATCTTATGGGCAATTTCACAACCCTCTTTGATCAGTTATATTTACTGGTCATCCAGGCTTGTGTGCTAAATACTTGACAATTGCTTAATATCTCTCAAAGAAAGGTGTTAAATCTTTCCAAGAAAAAGGATTGCCACGTGCTTTCAATCAGGGACTGCCTTTAAATTCTTATTCCTGTGACTCAAGACATTTCTGAAACATCCCTTATATGTTTGGGTGCTGTCTGGCTGATTTTCTCTTATCAGAGCTTGGGCGTTTAACAAAAGAAGCTCATCTAAAGCACACTGTGAAGTCAATGGGAGTCAATACCTTTATAACAAAAATCTTTGTATGTGCTTCTATGAGAATAAAATATCCTTTGATATCAGAATTTTTTTCTCCCTCTGTTTCTCTCTCTTATGTTTGGTCCAGTTTTGCTCCACAATTTGCCACATAAAACAAGAAAAGAAGCAGAAAACGAAGATGAAAAAAATGAGGTGAAAAAGCAAAGAACATGACTACACTTTCCTCTACAAACAAAGTTTTCTGCCGTTTGAAGAAAGATAGCTGCATTTACAAATCCAACATAAACTGGCTAGTTCTGTCCTTTCTTCTCCTCAAAGCATATTAACGTTCCTTATTTGGGCTACAGCTGCTGGGGAAATATGGGAGTTGTAGTCCCCAAAAGAAATGTTTTTAAACTCTGCTTTTATCATACAAGTGCATCCTTGTTCATTATTCCATCTGTTCCACAGACTGTAAGTTCACCTTCAGACAATATGTGCAATTCAACCTTACAAATGCTTAAAATAGTGGTTCCCAGCCCGTGGCCCATGGACCAGCAGTGGTACACAAGAACTAAAATATGGTATGCGGCCTCTACTAAAATATGGTCTGCGGCCTCTACACTATTGCAACGAGAGTAACTGGTCTCACAAAACCCTCTTCTAGTGCTGAGGCTTATTAAATATGGTTTTCTGTGGGCAAGCAGATGGCAACTACTGGATGGCATATGTTCTGTATCAGAAACTAGAGCTGATGTAGTCTATCCAAAGTGATTTCCTGAATCACCACCCCAAATAACCAAACAAAATTTAAAGTTGACCGAAAACTGATTCGTAACCCTTTTGGTACTAATGTTGGAGAAAAAAGATTGGGAACCACTGGTTTAAAACATTGTCAATAGGAAATCAACATCCTGACAATGACAAAATCTGGCTGTGTGGAGTGCCTCTGTGTAGTTGCACATTGTACCCTTTTCAGATGTCTTATGGAAATTGGGGATGGGCGAATTCATGTTGTTCCCCCTCCATGTGTTCAGTATTTAACACTGAACACTGTCATCTAAAGTAGATCATTATTTTTATAATATGCCTATTATACATGTGGTACACAAATGGGATCAACTACAATAAAATCAAAGAGCAACTGAGGCAAGATTTGACCCAGAAACCTTTTCATATATGAATCAGTCTTTTAGCCATTGCATTACACCGGTGTACAGGATAATTAACATCTTTGCTTTGGGAAAGTGTCTCATGGAAGCCAACAGAACTGGTGTTGACCTATGGCCTTCCAGTTGTGGTTGGAATTGCATTTGCTACTCACAATTAGCTCTATTACCTAAAGCTGATGGAAGGCGTAGGCCAAAATCATGTAGAGTAGGGCTTCTTTAACTTTTTCCACTTTCAACCCCGAGACATTTTTTGATGACCCCAGGTATACAGAAATATAAAACAGGTATAAAAATCTAATATTTACTGACAATAAATCAGCATTTGCAAGGCTGGTTTTACAGGTGAAAACTAGTACATGTTGGCAAAGCGACATCAGAATGTGGTCAAGATGCCAACAGTTATTGTGCTGGTACAGCTGTACCAGGAGCTTCAGCTTCATTTTCTTTCTTTTGAGTGTTTGCATATATTCCAAGGTTCCATGCATTTGCAACAAGGTGGCTTCCCTTGGTTTGCAATCATAGGGCTAGCCACCTGTCTATCATTGTTAAGTTTTGGTTCCGCCCCTTTCCCCAGGGCCATGGTAAGAGAGGGAGCCATTTTTAGTTCAGTCTTATAGTGGAAAGCTAAGTTACAGGACGTGGATTAGCTCCATCCATAGAAAAGCTTCATTTCCTACAGCATCCAGGGCAGAAATTCCAGGGAAAAACAGTCCCAAAGCTCTGGCTGGGAGTTTACAGCCTCTCAGCTTTACAGTATCTGAGGGAAACAGTCTTAAAGTTTTGGAAGAAAACAGTTTTGCAGACCCAAAGAACTCCAGCTGGAGAATCTACATAGCCTTGACTGGTAGGTCTACTCGGGATTGGAAACGGTAGTAGAACCCACGTCAGCAAAGCTTAGACAGTAGACTGTCTGGGAGGGGTTAAAAAAGGGCTTTCCTTGTTAAGGAAAGAAATAGTTCTCAAAGCAAGGTGCCTGTCCATTTTGGGGCAAGTTAAGTTTTGGGGCATTTCTTTAATCCGTTGAAGATCCAAGAAGTGTTTGTTGTTTTACTGAAGACCTAAGCAATAATAAAGAAATTTGTTAAACATTTCAAGCCTTTTAAAAACTGTGTATGGGAAAATCCTTGAAGGCCTCTCACCCGTGGCACCCCGGCTCCCCGCTAGGCACAAAGAGAACGTCCTGTTTAAAAAATCAATTATTACAGTCCCAGTGCGTGGCAGCACAGTTATTAATTAGGAAGAAGAATGCTCAAATTAGGAGGGACTGCAGCAATTTGCTTTTTTCTAAGCCAACTGGGAAGGTCAAGATTCTGTTCCCTCTAATCTTTCCCCTTCTGAGTTAAACTTAAACTAGTGTGCATGTCATACACAGCTTACAAGAATGGAAGTAAGCTGAAGACAAAGGGTGAAAGCTGTTGTTGAAGGCGATATGGGACATTTTGATGCTTCTAAAAGCATAGGACATGAGGGATTAATCAGCACTGTCACCTCCAAACTGGGACAAAATAAACTTATGCATAAAAGACAGAATAGCTTCCCAGTGTGTATTGAATGGTAATAGTGAAAATCTGGTAGTACATTCAAACAACTGACTTCCTAACACTGAGTACAGTTTATTTTTATAAGCCAGGAACTTTGCTTTAAGACAAAAATGGGTTGTTTGAAGCACTGTCCATTCTCTCAATAATAGCATTTTAATGGAATACTTCCTCATGAGCAGCTACACGAAGCCATCTGCATAATATAGGCCTTTCACTTCCACAAGATAATCTATCTTCAAAGCAATAAATCCCAGAGTCTTCAGCCAATCAAGCTGCCTAATTGGTTGAACATTTACAAACACTTGATAATTAAATTTGTGTTAAACTATGTAAAAGGATTTATGTTCCACTTCACCCAGATTGTTTCCCCCTTTCATTTTGCAAGAGTGAAATTCCTTCTGCCTGATGCTTCATTCAGGTGGTTAGATGCATCACATTATGTCAGTAATGTCACATTAGTAGTTCCTTCCACTGTAATGGGCTTGACATATCATGGGAAAAGCATATCAAGCCTCCTGAGTTTCAAACTGCCACAATTTCTTCACAACCAAAGAACCTTTAATATGATCATTTAATTAGATGCAAGGGTTTGGGGGAGATGTTGCTGATGTTAATTTTGTCAAACTTTTAAAACTGGGATCTCTGCTGACTCATACATAAGGTTAGAGCCTGAACAGCACTTTTACTTTTTAAAAAAATGTTGGAGAGAGGTTGTATAACTTCCCTAAGAACATAAGCAAAGCTTTCCCAGATCAGACCTATCCAGTCCAGCGTTATGTTCACAAAGTAATAGATCAATTAGGTTCTTGTGGGTTTTTTCGGGCTATAGGGCCATGTTCTAGAGGCATTTCTCCTGACGTTTTGCCTGCATCTATGGCAAGCATCCTCAGGAGAAATGCCTCTAGAACATGGCCCTATAGCCCGAAAAAACCCACAAGAACATAGTGATTCCAGCCATGAAAGCCTTCGACAATATAATAGATCAATTGTTTATGCAAAGCTTTTGCATACCCCTTCACACACACACATCTTTCTAAGCAGAAAAAGAAACACTTTCTTTCCAACTGTATCAAGAATACAGTTGCTTCTCCTCTCCCTCAGTTTTGGCACATAAAAGAAATCCAATTCAGTCACCTCTTTTTATTAGTCAACTTTGGAGCTTACCATGTCCAGCTTCAAACAGCCTCCCCCTCATTCTCTTTCCCTCCTTGCTTTCACATCTTGTTCAACCATATAGGCATGCTAGGAAAACTATATTTTTTAAAGTTTATTTCTAAAGAAATGTACATTTAAAATGTTGTAAATTGGGGCATACAATTTAAAATTTACCTGTACTATAATGGTAGGCTTCTTCTTTTATTTACTGGATAGGAAAAGAAGATCGCATCTACTGGACCCACCTGTATTGTAAATATGTCCGCTTTCTCTGCTAAGATTCGATCACTGGATCTTCATGCATTTTTGGTGAAGATTTGAAGATGTGTCTACAGCTGTTGGAGTTGGTATGTGGCTGATCAGACAAACTTTATTATGTATTCAAACTACCTACAAGGGAAGGGCAGAAATCCCTCTGTGTAGCCTAGCCTTGTCCACCGTTGCCATATCTGCCAGTCATACCACAAGTTGTTCACTCAGTAGCCATGTGAAAGACTCATCTATTTGTTTAGGATTTCTTCTTGATTTGAAATCCTAACCAATCTTGAATTGCCACTGGAGCGACGGTAGTATGGCTTCTGGTCCAAGCAGCAGGAGCAGACCTATCTGCTATAACCCCAATATCCATGCATAGGCATTCAATTCATCATTGTTTTTCCCCTCCCCATATGGGCATCAACACCCCTAACTCTGTTTTCCCCCTTCCATCTTCATCAAAGGATGCTGGATTTATTTCCTGATGCTAGTGATGGATTGAATAAAGATAAACAATTTGAATCTTAACTGAGCCAGAAGTGCTTTCGGTTTATCAAAAAACAGATAAGGATACAGGTATCCAATGTTTTGTAGTCCAGTCATGTTTCCTTTCAAGATTCAAGGTTATAGCATGAGGATACAATGGACATCCAGTCTTTGCAGATGGCCAAGAGAAAAATGTGACCAGCTTTATTCAGTTACATCCACTTTTAAGAATGTAGTGTACGTGAGACTATTTTTGTAATCTACTTGAAAATTACAACTAGTATGTATGGTGCAAACTTTTGATTGAAGCTAATTTTAGAGAGCATGTGACCCTTTTGATACAGGAGTTTCTCTGGCTGGCAGTTTGTGTCTAGACATAATTCATCTGGTTATGACTTATGAAATCCCACGTGACTTGGGTTTAGATTATCCGAAGAAGTATATTTTCTCATAGTAATCTGACTAGGATTTTGTATGATTATGGGAATTTCTTCTTTCAGTCTTGTCCCTTCCCATGTTTGGAAGAATGTGAGAGAAGGTTTTCTCAATGACTATTTTTTACAGGACAAAATTAGTTATTATCATCACTTACCAATATTAACTTCATATCTCTGTGAAGAATAATTAAAAATCTATAACAAGATCTCTAAAGACATAATTAATGCCACTCGAGAGATTAGAACATGGAGCAATAGATTCACATTGCAGGAATTCCACCTAAACATTAGAAAGAACTTCCTTATGGCTAGAAAGTTTTGACAGTGGGATATTTAACCTTGGAGCATGGTGGAGTATCCTTTTTTAAAAGCTTTTAAGCAGAAGCTCAATGACCATTTGTCAGGAGTGCTTTGATTGGATGAACCTGCATGGTAATGGACTGGACTGGAAGACGCTTGTGGCACTTCTAACTCTGTGATCCTATGATTCTTCGAAATGATGCATTGAAATAATAAAATCTTGAGGCTGGAATTCTGTTGATGTCTTATGCATGGAAAAGTTCTTCTACAGAAATTATCAGACTTTTTTGTCTGATACACAATGACTACATTAATTTGAAGGTTGCAAAAGCAGAATTGTTAATCTATGTGCAGTGCAAATTGATGTGTGTGTGCACACACATGCACACATACATTTGGTTGCACATGAGATTCTACATTTGGCTCCTTGGTTCAGTTGTGCAAGACTGATCTTGCCAATGTAGTACAATGATTTATACTATGCAACTCTTATGTAAAACTTCATTTCCCAGTATCGTACTGATAACTTTTCTGTTACCTACCCAACCCTTTAAAAAATCTAACAATATAAAAATTTTCAAAATTCATTAGTTTAGGAGTGTGAAATCCTTATTGCTCTATTAGAACCATTATTAGTACAGAGAGCCACACCACAAGATAAGAGATATGCAAACCCTACAGCAATAAGACTAAAGTCTTCACATAATCTGTGCTCCACATTTGGAACATAGCAAAAGTCAACAAAGAGATTATATTTCTCAGTTGCTTCAAAGATGTTCAGTTTCTCTAAGTCTCATGAGATTCTAGTGTCGGTTTACTATCTGAAGGAAGTGGTAAATGAGACATTCTCACTCAAAATGAAATTTACAACTTACTGCAAAATTTGTGTTACATTTATGATGTCATTCTCAAGTTTAATAGAAACCAGAACTTAACAAACCAGAAAGTTGAATGTCAGAGGGTTTAAAAAAGAAAAAAGAAAACAGCTTTCATGTTGACCTCTACTCTTTAGAAACTTCAAATCTGTTTCACATCAGAAGCAGTGAGGACAGAAGAGTACATGGGAAATGAATAGGCATGGCCATTTATAGAGGTCCAGTTAAGTTTCTAGAAATCCGGTGGGATTCATGACATAAGCAAAGAGCAACAAACAGCAGGTGATAGGAAGGATTTATATAAAAACAAGAATACTTTGAACTCAGATGCTTTTATTCATTATCTGCACATTTCCAACCAAAGGGTGCATTTTAAAGAACACATAAATAAATAAACCAGAAATGTTATAAGATTTTTTTAAAAAAAACCAACATGTGAAGTGTAGGAAGAAAATGTATCTCTGAGAGATTTTCATATTCTAACATGAGTAACAGATTTTAAATTCTTCCAATTTGTTGCTTATGTCTTTTTAAAAACATGAAAAACAAGTGTCCTGTTGCAATAAATGGGATCAACATATTTAAGATGGCATGATGTTTTGTAAACTTGAGTCCCCAAAAGTGTGGGCTATAATAATATTTAGTCTTTATGATGCCACATAATTTTTGTTGTTTTTGCTGCAGCTGATTTGAAATAGTCACCCAGAGAATTCCCATGAGAGCCTTCAAATATCTCGTCTTCCATCTCTATCTGCATTTTTAACCAATACAATTCAGGAACAGGTACATCAGTTGTAGCTTCTATCTGACTATTTGAGAACTGAAAACACACACACATATATGCATTATTTATTGGGAATACAATTACACCCCAATCTTCTAGCCAGCACAGTAAATCATCATCATGATAAATCCTTTCCATGTGAATATGATTGAGACCTACTATCAGCTACAGAATTCAGGCCCAATTTTCAGGCTATGGCCCGTACTTTTCCATCTGGATCAGACCAAAGGCATTTCTAGCCAAGCACTCTGTTTTCCATAGTAGCCAATCAGATACTTATAAGAAGCCTGCAAACAGGATGTGAGTCACAACAACACCTTCCAACTCATTTTTGCCAGGAAATGATATTCAAAAGTATACTTCATTTTATTAAGGAAGTGTGATACAGCCACTATGAACCATGTGATTCTCTGTATGTTGTTGTGCTGCTACTTTATTATTATTATTTAGAGTATTTGTATCCCGTCCTTCTCAATTCCCGAAGGGGGACTCAGGGAAGGCTTACAATTGGCAGTCATTAGATGCCTACAAAGAAACAAAACAAAAAATTAATGTGAACAGATCAACAGCAATAAAAATACATTAAAAAGTGATAAAAATACATTAAAAATATTGACCCTTAAAATATTAACACAACAAAATCTAAGTCCGCAAATCCAAATCATAATCCGGAGATCCAGTCTAAAGTCTCTTAATTGACAATTCTTCATGACACAAAGATTTGATTGTTTGAATTTTATATTCATATTTACATGCATTTAATTTGTTTTCGATTTGTATTATTTCATGTTTGCTTTTAGCCACCTTAAGTCCTTATGTCAGGAGAAAGGCAGGACAAAAATAAATTAAATAAATATCATTTGACATGATTGCAGAATTCTATCATATCACCTCTATATAGGATCTACAAAGTCAATCTTCTGTACCAGTGTTTCTCAACCTTCCAGATCCCTGGTCTTCTAGATACTTGGGATTCAACTCCCAGAATTCCTGAACACTGGCTTTACTAGATGGAGTGTTGAGAAACAGTATATCATGTGGAAACAATTATTGGAAATGTTTAGTGCTGGCATAAAGACTGTCCACAGTGACTACAAAAGAACTGGACGATTATGCGAGTCAGACAACCTTAGGTGGCAGATAGAGGTGGACAGTGCAACTCAGCGCAACTCAGATGTTCTCTTGAGTTTCTATACTTGCCTATCTTGGAAGACAGAATTGTGTGGGCTACATGGTCTGTCTGCATTTACACCTGAAATTTACCTTCTTCATTCAAGGATAGTGGAGAATTATATCCAGTTGTCAAATGATGCTGAAGGAAAACTGACATACAATTTCTGTTGATTCTAATATGGAATGGAGTGGATGTTCTCTTATCCTTTCCTTTATCAGCAAAATACATTATGCCAACCCTGTTTACAGCTCTTTATAAAGTTATTCTAAGGCACCATCCATTTGGGGGAGTTGGAATGAAAGAATTAGCCTTTGCTGATTCTACTTTTGGTTTGACTTGGGCCAGTCTAATTGCCATAATATTGCCTTTTATGTCAAATAATGAATAGTCTTATTAGTCCCCATATCTGAACTTGTAAACATTACTCTCTTTTTTGCACAACTCTCAGAATCCCACACTTAGCATGGCCACTGGGTATGCTAGCTGTGGGATTCTGAGATATGAAAAACTGAGTTTTCTGAACTTTGGTGCCAGCACTAAAGCAATAATTTGCAGTCCCATAAATTGCTGCTTTTGCTCCCCAGCTCAGAGGTTGTAGCTGTAAATGCATTTGGTTTTAATTTTCTAATGCCTTTTCACAGGGATAAAACTCCTAATACTCAGGCTTCCCATAAGAATTCCTGTCCTCTTACATTATTTCCTACCAAATGCAAAGGCTAAAAATCCTGCTCAGCCACTCTACTCTAAGCTAATGCAATAAATTTAGTCTAAAATCCATTTCCTTTAAGAATTTATGATAGATAAGTTTTTTTAAAAAAAAACATACTTATGAGGAAAAATTCTACACCACATTGACTTCACAAAGTGGGGGGACTGTAATGATCTAGAGAGTCACATACGTTACTTCACTAGCAGTTCTACCATCTTTGCAACTAGTAGTCTGTATGCTGAATACAAGTATGTATCTATCTAGGTAAAAGAAAGGAGTCAATATAGCTAAAATAGACAGATATAGACAAGAATTTATACAAGGAGA